CCTCCCTCTCACCACCAAGTATGTTTTATTGATGTATAGTATACATAAATTAACATTCACGCTTTTTAGATGTTCCACTCTTTAAGTTTTGACAAATATATACCACCACAACGTGAGTATAGAGATTTTCCATTACTCCAAAGATTCTCTCCTGATTCTTTGAAATAAATGTTTCACCCTATACACCATGGGAACCTGGGATTGGATTCCTGTCCCTATATCTTTATCTTTTTCAGACTGTCATATAAATGCAATTATATGGTACATAAGTCATTTAATTATGGTTAAAAAAACATAAAATTTACCATCTTAACCATTTTTAATAGTTTGTTAATAAATATATTTACATTGTTGTGCAACAGATCCCTAGAAGTTTTTATCTTGCAAAACTGAAACTCTTCTACCCATTAAACAATTCCCTCTCTCTCAGCCCCTGGTCACCAGCCTTCTATTTTGTGCACCTATGAACCTGCCTGTTTTGGACACCTCATGTAAGTAGAATCATGCAATACTTGTCTTCTTGTGGTGGCTTATTTCAGTTAGCATACTGTCCTCAAGGTTTAAGGATGTTGTAGCATGGTGTGTGAGAACCTCCTTCCTTTTTTTTACCTTTTTTTTTTTGAGACAGAGTCTTGCTCTGTTGTCCAGGCTGGAGTGCAATGGTGTGATCTCAGCTCACTGCAACCTCTGCCTCCCGAGTTCAAGCAATTCTTGTGCCTTAGCCTCCCAAGTAGCTGGGATTACAGGCGTGTGCCACCACACCTGGTTAATTTTTTTATTTTTAGTAGAGATAAGGTTTCACCATGTTGGCCAGGCAGGTCTCAAACTCCTGACCTCAGGTGATCTGCCCACCTCAGTCTCCCAAAGTGCTGGGATTACAGGCATGAGCCACCACGCCTGGCCTAGAAGTTACTTCCTTGTTAAGGCTGACAATATTCCATTGTACATATAATACAACATTAGGTTTATCCATTCATCCATCAATGAACATTTGGGTTGCCTCCAGATTTAGGGTATTGTGAATAAGGCAGCTATGAACATGGGTGTGAATACATAACATTTTGAAACTGAGTTCTTTCAGCCAGTTGAATGCCTTTGATATTCAACCATGAGGTTGTGCATCTCACGCGTTCATTCATGTTTATTGCTGAATGTTGTCTGTTCTATGAATGTGCCACGGCTTGTTTATTCATCTATCCATTGCTGGACATTGTCGGGTCATTTCCAGCTTTGGAGATTATGCTGTAATGCTATAAACGAACCACATAGATCTGGTTGTGGTGATGTAGCATTTTTATTTTTATGTTTAAACATTTAAGATAGTCTGAGGGTTGTACCTTTTGGAATTCTCTTTTGATTAACCTTTAGCTTAAAATTTTAGATTCCCTTTGAAAGGAGATTACAGAGTTTTACAAAACTCATTAGAATGTACAAAAAACAAAACACTGGAGGACTACTAATATATCATGAAATCCCACAATTCTCACCAAAGTTGTAGTAATAAACATCTGTCCAAAGAAGAAAATAGTGATGTTGTTGAATTAGTTCCACATGAGCATAACAGCTCCCTTACCCGTCTTCATCCCTGATACAGGGAAGGGATAGAAATCATGGATCAGTGAGGAGGATAAAGAGGGAGTGGCTTTGGGTATTTGCCTAACAACAGATCTCAGCTTGGGGATAGGGGTACTGCAAATATATGTCATGTCAGATAAATATTAGTTACTGCTCGTATTGCCTAGCAAACCAGGAAATTTATGATCCCCTGTGAAGATTTTTATCCCACAAAGTGAATTTTCAAAAGCAAAAAGGAAAAATGTGTTTTCTCAAGGCACTCTTAAATTCTCCTTGTCCAACAAGAGTTACAAAGCAGTACAGAGGGATGACTTTGAGCTCTGCTCTTTGTCCCGTACCTGTGAAGATAAGCTATCAATTTACATTGTCTGGGTGAGATTCAATAGAATTGTTTTAGGGTAAAGGTTTGGGGGCCCACAAGGAATTTCCCTGTGAGTAAATTGTGAGGGGGGTTATGTAGCACTTTTTATTTTATTTTATTTTATTTTGCTTTTTGAGACACAGTCTCACACTGTCGCCCAGGCTGGAGTGCAGTGGCACGATTTTGGCTCAGCGCAAGCTCCACCTCGCCGGTTCACACCATTCTCCTGCCTTAGCCTCCTGAGTAGCTGGGACTATAGGCGACCGCCACCACACCGGGCTAATTTTTTGTATTTTTAGTAGAGACGGGGTTTCACCGTGTTAGCCAGGATGGTCTCGATCTCCTGACCTTGTGATCCGCTTGCCTCGATCTCCCAAAGGGCTGAGATTACAGGCATGAGCCACCACTTTTTAAAAAATCTTTGTAGCTATCTTATTTAGGAAAAATTGGGAGGCAGGTTTGCCTGATGCCGTTCCCAGCCTGACGTTTCCTTTCCCTTTGGCTTAGTGAGTTTGGGGTCCCAAGATTTATTTTTCTTCCCCACCGTAATACTTGATAAATAGAAACAGGTACAGAGAAGCAACAGGGAAAAGTTAGACTGATCTCTTTGGTATTAGATTAGAGTCAAGGACAATAGTATGAACACATATTTAGCTATAGAAAGTTAAAGCCCATAACCCCTGGACCAGTCTACCCAGGAGAAAAAAAGTACGTGGTTAGATAAATACAGAAAAATTATTAACATGTGTGTAAACATATTTCCTAGGTCTGCCTGCTGAGAAGGCCAATTAGCAATGATACCCCAGCAGCAATGGGAACACCCAGCACCCACATCTTGATTTCTGATGTCATTCTCTAATAAAAGGCTCCTTGGAGAAGCTGCTGAGTCCAAGGCACGGGTAGGGAAAATTCAAGATGAGCCTGGGAGATCGTGTAGTAGCAAAAAGCAAGAGTAAGGAAGTGCTCCAAAAACAGAGCAGACCTAAAAGGGTACCTGCATTCTGTCCCCGGTTCTTTGCAATTAATTCAGTTATGACACTACCGGGTGTTAACAAGGACTTCACAAGTGAAGGGCTGTAAACTAAAAATAAAATTCTTAATCCCCCAACAGACTGAGCAGACTCCCTCTTGGCCAAGGGGAACCCAGAAAAATCTTAAAATCTGAATTCCCAGACATGATGGGAAGAGAGGTTGAACGGCCATCCTGGGAAGGGAGGTTGAATGGACCTCCTTATACTCCCT